TCTCGTGCTGATTGCTGAGTGTTGATCTCCACAGAGACTTCAGAGTGATGAAAGATTGACTTGCTTTTCCGACCTTCGCTGCTTTGGCATCCTCATCAGTTCCGTCAACCTGTAGTTCAAACGATGCTTCCCAGGTAGGTAGGTGAAGCAGGTTGCTTCTTTCAGATTTCTCCCATTCGTGCTGATTGTTGTCTGCTGTAGTTGCTGTTGGTCAGGAATCTTCACCACCTCTGTTTTCTGTATGTTCACCTGAAGGAAGTCCTTCCTATCTTCGGTGCTTCATCTACCGGCTTGTTGCCTTTCACTCGTACATCTTTCAGTTTGCAGAATTTTTTTGATTATAGCTTGAAACCGCATAGTATTTTTTGGTACAAGTATGGAATTTTCAGTATGTGATATCAGTAGCCCAAATTTCGCAGGCGTGCCATAGATATCAGGTGTGCGTCGGTAGGGGTTCGAACCCCGGACCATGTCCATGGTCGGCGAGAGTCCTAACCGCTCTGCCACCGACGCACATATATCATTATGTGTGAGGTGCACATCCTCCAAGTATTTTTTGTGGGTCCATTTTATGCCTGTTTTCTCATTATCCGATGTCTGTCGCATTATTCAGTCTACTGCAATCAGGGAAATCATTGGAGATAGTAGTCAGCCCTGTTTTACTTCCGTCCTCACTTCGAAGGATTCCGTGATTTTCCCGTTGTAGATTTCTTGGCACGCAGCATTGTCGTTCAACTGTTGGGTGAGAGGTATAATAATAATAATTTATATTTTCATATAAACATAAATTTACGTGAAAATGCACGCCATTTTTACGGGCACGATCAAGTATGATATAATGACAAATAGTAGATTGTCTACGAGTTAATAATGTTTGAACAGCTAAATATTTGATAAATATATATAAATACACTCATTGTCTGACCCATGTCGTATCATTATTGAATTAAACAGTAGTCCTCCAGGTTGCGCAGGAAAATCGACTTCGCTTCGTTTCCAACCCGTAGTTGTAGGCATACGATAGCCAACCAATAGTGAGGTAAGTACAACGTTTACAAGGGATAGTAAGATTATCACTTTTAAAAGTTCAAATTGTTGAATTATATAGTACAAGCAATCGGAACAAATTCTTATAATTGTTAATTTGTAAATCTTCCACGAAGGTTTCCATCGAAGTTGAGCGACAACCACGTGCTTGAACGCTATTTCTGGAAGAGGAGAAAATCCTGCACAGCTACAAAGTGGTATAAAATGCAATCATGAATAATACATTATTGGAAGTATATTTACAAGAAAAATACAAGAATAAGCTATACAGTACTTGATATGATAGTGCACATTTGCAATGTATGATGCTAACCATATTGATCTTACCGTAGAAAACTATGACATTTTCTATGAAAGTATAGTTATTCTCAAACATGAGCGCTGTTGTTATGTTTTTTTACCACCAGAGCAACCGAACTTTATGCGAGAGAAGAGCGTGAGTGAGAAAAAAGAAAAAGAAAAGAGTAAATTTCAGCTTTACTAAAGGCCTAGGAAGTTGAGATAAAATAGAGTATAATAGTAATTAGGTAGAAGGATTATCGTGAAGTATATAAGTGACTTTTTAGAGAGAAGTGGCTGGAAGGATTAGAACCTGTTGAATATGGTGACCTGTAGGATGTCTGGCGAACTTGTGTATGGCCTATGGGATAGCATCTTGACAAGAAACTGAGCAGGCTTGTAGATGTTAGGAGCGAAAGCATTATTTTTTTACAAGCTAAAACTGTACAGTCATTATTGTTTTAGTTTGTTTTTTAATTTTTTTATAAAGTCAATTTTTTATACTTTCAGTATCTAAACTCATGTTTAATTCTCGAGCTGCCAAAATCATGCATGTTGCTGCCCTACAGATCGGAGCGATTCACATTTGTGACCACTACCAAATCTGCTGATCAGCATGCCCCACCCTCCCTTTTGTTGCTGCGCCAACTCTTGCATTGACCTAAGTCCCCTTTCTTTGGCAGTTTGAATAAATAACCTTTCCTCCAGTCAGCAGGCACCTTGCTCTCTTTCCACACTTTCTTCAGTAGTGGTGCCATCAAGTCCGTTGTTGGCTCTGAGTCCATTTTCAATGCTTCTGTGGGTATTCCGTCTGGCCCTGCTGCTTTTCCAGTTTTATCACATTGATTGCCTTCAGGATTTTTGTTCTCGTCGGAGGGTTGATGTCTAGTGGTAGTTCTGTTTCCGCTGTTGGTATTATTGGGCGGTCGATTTAGAAGTCTTTTGAAGTGATCAGCTTAGTGTTTCCTTTGCTCTACCTCTTTAGTGATTGAGTTTCCATTGTCATCCTTCACTGACCTAATTAAAGTTTCCCCATAGGAACCTGGTTGTTTGGTAGGGTGTTGCAAGGTCTCCTTTGCCCTCAGCTCGTTCTGCTTCACTTACCATAGCTTCGTAATATTTTCTTTTGTCTTCCCTGGCACTTTTCTCTATCCTTTTGTTCAGTGCATTGAAGCTTGTATTCAACTCCTGTTTTGTTGCTCATTGATGCACTGGACAGTCTTTTGTTTCACCCTCCTTCTCTTTTTTACTAGTCTCCATGTGTCCGTAGTGAGCCACTGTTTGTCCTGTCTCTTCTTTCTACCTAAAACTTCCATGCACGTGTGACCCCACAACTCTTTCAGGCTGTTCCAGTGTTTAACAGCACTGGCCTCTTAGCTAATGTTGATTTGTGTCTCCGCCTATTTCCCTTGTATCCTGATCCTCCATTTTTTGATTATTAAACTGGGCTTGTGGTCTATCTGCAGCTCTTGCTTATTTGAAAGTTTTTAATTTGATTTCGGGTGTTCCTTGTATGAGATATTGGTCTGAGTCAGCGTTTGCTCCTCTTCTTGCTTTTTTGCCCAGCAAGCTGCGTCTCCATTTCCTTGAGCGGCATTGAGATGAAGTCAATTTAGTTTTCGGCTCACCCGTTTCGTGACAGCCATGTAGCCTTGTGGATTCGCTGTGCTTGTATACACTGCAGCCAATAACCAGTTCAGAAATCAGCGAAGAGTTCCCCATTTTCATTCATCTATCCTAGAACTTCTCCAGCCATGATGAGTTCTCTTTTTGTGTTGTCTGGCCCCAGTTTGGCGTTCATGTATCCCATTAGTATTTTAATGTCATCGACTGGAGTACTGTCCATTGTTGTCTGTAGAATTCTTCTTTCTTTTCGAGATCTGTGTTGTTTGTGGGTGCGAAGCATTGTATAACTGTCACTTTCCTTCCTTTGGAGTTGAATCTGGCGGTCATTATCCTGGGTGAGATCGCATCCCATTGCATCAGGGCCTTCGTTGCTGTTGGTGACATCATGATAGCCACACCCTCAGAGTGCTCGTGGTTGTCTTCTGGGTGACTGGAGTAAATCATCTACTCTCCCATTGACAATCTGGTGAGTCCACTCCTATTCTATCTGCTTTCGCATACTCCCAGTGCTTGAATGCCATATCTGGGCAATCTGGACAGCTCTGGCAGTCTCGTACATTGTGCGGACGTTCCATGTCCCAATACAGACTAAATCTTTTGTCGCAAGGAGACTCATCGTGGTGAAGTTTCTGTAGCAACTTTGTTTACAGGATGGGGTTGCTAGCCTCACGCATGAGAAGGGGGTTATTACATGTATATGTGGAGCAACTTTATGGGCTGCTCCCCTAAAAATCAGGAAAACAAGGGACAAAGCAGTCAGAACAACACCAGCAAACGGAAAAATTTCACAACCAGAAGGGCAGCGACAACAACAAAAAAACTGTAGCGGTAGTATCACTGTCAAATACAGTTAACAAAAATGATATCAAAACCATAGACTCACTGAATTGGGTCAACCTGTGTATGTAAATCCAACAATATATACAATTATAGATATTAGTTAGCGTTGAACAGTCACATTATACCAAAAAGTTAGCTGTAGGTATTATCGGTTAACACGATTATATCCATAGATTCAGTGTTATAAAGTCAAATAATTGCAATAAGTTACACAAATTCCTGGCAAGAAACATCAGAGAAATAATAATTTTATGTAACTAAGCAAACGTAGCGTGCTAATCGAAAAGTGCGTCAAGGTAGTTTACAGAAAAATCTTCCGATTTGGCCCCAAAATATAAATCGTAATTTGGATGGTTCATTCTGGTGCCTTGTTTTGCCTTTGGTCTACTCGGAACGAATACCATAGAAGTTGTGGGTATAAGACCTTGCGTTAGTATACTTTGTACTATCCGTGAAAGACAAACCCTTGCCTCTAGAAACTCCATGCTTTCTGCAAAACTTAAAAACAGCATGTTTAAAAATTCTTTCAGCCCTAAGGATACACCATTACTGTTAAGTAAACAGAAACTGCACTGGAATGTTTTCTAGTGAGTGTTGCCTTATTGGACCTGACAGGGACGTTTAACGTTTTTTCAAACAAGCTCTCCCTTCAAAAGGTCGATTGATCGCAACTGTGATGTTTTAGTCTTGTATCTCAGAGATAACTCTGATCTGGAAATATCATTACAAGACCTATCTTTCTGTCTCTCCTCTCGCCCAAGCTGAAATGCTGTGGTCCCACAAGCCGCTCTTGGATTTCTTTGCGATCTACTTGTGGTCTATCTAACATTCCAGAGGATAGCCAATAAAGTCAATCAATAACGCACCCTATAGTCATTCTACCCGTTTGAGCAAATGGAATGATTGCCTAGGGAAGAAATCTGTCTGATTAGAGCAGTCTTGTGATTTTATCAGCTGTTTTTTCTCATCAAACTAAGTTAATATATCACTGTTCTCGGCTTTCACAAAGCTGCATTTGGTGGGGCTAACCTGAACCATTTAATCACACGAAGAAGGAAACGCAGAGATATTAGGATTTAGGAGGCTTAGGCAACAGTTTTGCGTCTTGTAATGCTGAAAATACGAAAACTACTCTACTTGACTCCGAAAATAAAACAAAACTGCAGCAAAATCTGTTTTATTCATCTAAGATTCAAGGCTGTTTCAAGGTTTCATTGAGAACCGCAATTTGTAAACTAGTTTCGGTTTTGCGCTAGGGCTCATTATGGACAGGAAAACAGCGAACTTCGTCCATTCACAGGCTGTTATTCGAGACTACATATCACAACCGCGAATCAGTTAGTGAAAATCAAACTTGGCCTCCCTAAGTTGTGCTTAGTGTTTTTTATTATACTATAGCGTATACAATGTTTCACTGATGATTCCCTCAAATATTGTTTAGAATACCTATATACGGTTTATCGGTAGGCGACATTAGTGGTAAATTTAGACAGTATGCTATGCTGTCTTACTCTGTATCATTTGTAGTCAACAACAACTTAGATTTTCAATCATTTTTTGTATGTGATGTTATGAAATGTAACAGCATCAATTAACTTATTCGCATGAGAAATCCACTATGGCCAAATCAGACTGTTACATGACTAGTTTTTCGACCACCGGCTAAACCTTTGTAGGATGTGCTATTATCATCTTGTAAAACTGAAACTGTAGGTGATCATTGCTATATGCACTGAATCCTTTGTATAGTATATTTTATTGTCAATGCTTAGCGCATATGGTATGGGTTAATTATAAAGTTAAGGTTCTTCAGTGACCATTTGCTCTATGTTGTATAATTCGAAGCTCCTTCCACTTAGCATTTCCTTCGGGGGCACAACAGGAACTTTGGGAACATTTAAGGCGCACTGTGGAAGGTTGGGGAAAAGTGTTGACACACTGCAGGGACTTCGAGGCGAAAGTCGGCTTCACTGCAGAAAGTGTCCTAACTTCAGGTTATCATGTCCCAATTCTGGAGTGAACGTTTTCTCTCTGAAAGCTATTGCCATTTGAGCTGTGTGCAATATGTTTGCATTTTCCTGACTGGAATTCCTACAGCTATTCATCCTCAAGTTAGGGATGTATTAGGCTTGTACGTGTTTGCCCACATAATTTCGTAGACTTCAGAAGCCATATAGGTGTTTCCTCTTTTGCACACCCGCGTATTATTATAATTCACTCCGGATAATTATTTTTGATTACCTCGTTGGCATCCTCTTCTTAATTCTCTAACTTTTATCGCTGTTTTTAGCATATTTCTTCAGCAGGAAAAATTAGTTGAGGCAAAGTAAAATCAAGTGCGAGCTAAACTCAGAAAGGCTTTGGGGTGATATCAGTCCATGACTACTAAAACCATATTATAAACTATAGGTTGTTTGGCTGGAATTCTTTAGGAGTCAGTATCTCCCAGCATGATGCAGCGTAGCCTAAACTTTTTCGCGCATTTTTCGTGTAGATTTTGGGCTCTCCCATTCGTTTATTTGACTGTCTCCTCCCTTCATGTGGTTTTTTGTTGGTTCTATTGCAATATTTATTTGTTTTCCTTCAGTGCTTTTGAATGGTGTGTGAAAGTAAGCTAGTACAAGTTAGGTCTACATCTCCGTTAGGGAGATATATAATTATTACATCTTATTTGTATTCTGGCTACAACAGAGAGATTCAACGTTTGCATTCATTCTGTACTATTTTTAAAACACTGCAGGAATCAGATTCTCGAGGTTAGATTCTTTTAGATATATGACCTGAAAAATTAAGTCCATCGGCTAAATCATGTTGCACTTAATGTGGTTTGGGAAAACTGGTAGTGTCATGAGCTTTAAGAGATTAAATATTGTTCAGTGCTCGATAAATAAACATAACGTGGCCTTTTAGCGTGGATTATTGATGTTTAGTAAGGTAAGGTCTACAGTCTTTTCCCAGTTTTAAATAGCGAAATTTCCACGCAGTGATTTCAGGCTTCACGTACTTTAGGATTACAGTGTATTATGGAGTAAGTTGTCAGGATCTTCAGTATGAGGATTAATTCAGTTATTACCCACCGGCCACGTACATATTCTGTTACTTGATAGTGGACCACATCTTTTATGTTAGGATTAGTGGTAATATGTGACAGGTGGAGTAGGATATGGACCTGTTTCCTTATAATTGAAAACCATATACCTAAACCAATGTAGCATAACCTTACGCTAGCTAGTTGATCAGGTTCAGCACATGCAGCAACAGAAGGGATTAGTGCAACTGTTTAGAATTTTGAACCACCGTAGGTATAGAATTGACTGAAAAGTGTCAGTAAAATTAGTCGATTTTTTTAGTGCATTTTTTGTGGTACATGATGCTCACTGGGAGAGTTGTGGGTAATTGTTCCACTCTGATTTTGTACAAGATACGTAGGAAATTGGTTCCATAAGTGTCTTTTAAGATGTTTCAGGTCCAGCGTGACATAAAAGTCTATTTTCAATAATGAGTTACAAATATTTTTCAGTTATTTACCTGATCAGTGTCTTCAGTGTATTTATTGATAGTTTTGATTTCCGTTGAGAACCTGTCTTTCATTCGTTTTACACCTTTTCTTATAGCTTATAAAACTGTCTCTGGTGTAAATGGTCCTTTGGTCATATTAGATGATGTGAAGTTTCCTAAATTCGATGAGATTGTCAGGCTGACTCTTGCTGATGGTAGTCAACGAACTGGACAAGTTTTGGAAGTTAGTGGTAAAAGAGCTATCGTTCAAGTATTCGAAGGAACCAGTGGTATCGATGCTAAGAATACTACTTGTGAATTCACCGGAGATATTCTTCGAACTCCCGTGTCTGAAGATATGCTGGGTATGTTTATTACTTATCCTTAGACTTATAAAACATTTTTAAGGTCGAGTATTCAATGGTTCTGGAAAGCCAAAGGATAAAGGTCCAGCAATCCTTGCAGAAGACTACTTAGATATTCAAGGTCAACCAATTAACCCATGGTCGCGTATTTATCCAGAGGAAATGATTCAAACTGGCATATCAAGTATTGATGTTATGAATTCAATTGCACGTGGTCAAAAAATTCCTATCTTTTCTGCCTCTGGTCTACCTCATGATGAAATCGCCGCCCAGATTTGTCGTCAAGCTGGTTTAGTCAAATTGCCGGGAAAAAGTGTTATGGATAGTGATGTAGATAATTTTGCTATTGTATTTGCCGCTATGGGTGTCAACATGGAGACTGCTCGATTTTTCATGCAAGATTTTAAAGAAAATGGTTCAATGGAAAATGTCTGCCTGTTTTTAAATCTTGCAAATGATCCTACTATTGAGCGTATTATAACACCACGTATTGCTTTGACAACAGCAGAATATTTAGCTTATCAATGTGAAAAGCATGTGCTGGTTATTCTTACCGATATGAGTTCATATGCAGAAGCATTACGTGAGGTAAGGTGTGGTTATTGTGTATAAAGGCAATCCTATTGAGTGATTGGTTGAGTTACTTTACATTTATACCTCTCATTAATGACCAATCTGTCTAACTCCATTACATTGTCTCTGAGGTGACTATATAAGTTACTTCAGTTTCATATTATCAGCAGGCTGTTTCTCCGGTCTTTCACATAAGTTTCTACTCTGTGGTCTTGAAGTTTTATGTTTGCATTGCTTGAACTTCTTAGGAATCTAAAGGGTAGTGTCTTAGCTCCCATTATGTATAACATATGAGCTTCTGTTCCACTGTTGAATTAACTGTCATTACTTCATTTCAGTGAAAGTAGATGGCACTGTATTAACGACACAAAAAGTTAAAAGTTTATAAGCGTCGTGGTAGGACGTTAAGCTACTATTTTATCAAAAGCTAGGATGAACAGAACTATCCCTCTAGCGACGTGGATATCCAAGGTTTATCAGTGTGGCGCTAAGAACCATTCGCACAGATGCATTCACTATTTGTATTCTGTTAGATCCAGTAATTCCTCGGGTTTTTCCGTGTTAATATTCTTTCTCACATACATTTTTGCTTATTATAGTTTTTTCGAATATCTTTTTGTTCTATAGTTGGTTTGTAAGTATTAGTTTTGTTTTTACGAGTTAATCACGGATTGATATCAGTTGGAGAACCATTGAAAACCAGGGAGTTTTGGACAGCTGTCTCCTCCATCCTAGTTTAGGAATCATCGGCAATACACAACCACCACTAGCGTTCGAATCCAGGACCTTCCGGTTACAAGGCAAGCTCGTATACCGACGACATTGGTTAGGGTCGCGCTGAATTACGAATCGGTAGAAGTTAGAATTCATGAGCCATTGAATCGGGTCCCAGTGGCTGAATGGTATACGAGCTTCCCTTGTAAACGGAAGGTCCTGGATTCGAACGCTGGTGGTGGTTGTGTACTGCCGATGATTCCCAAACTTGGATGGAGGAGACAGCTGTCCAGTACTCCCTGGTTTTCAATGGTTCTCCAACTGATATCAATCCATGATCAACTCGTAAAAACAAAAATATCTTTTTTCCCTCTTCGTCGACATTTGTGTGCTATATGCTGTGTGTTAACTTGAACTGGTTCGTTTCTGTGCTGTGTTCTATGTTGAAGCTCAATCAGTCAGTTTCGATAAAGTCAGCATTATGTGGAAGTGAAAATCATAAAATTTCCGAGGCTTTATTTATGTCCACGCGCGAAAATGCATTAGTGTGGTTGGAAAAAGGAGTAACTGTGTATTCATACCGTCGCCTTATCCCAACTATTTTGCAGTAGACATAGCAGGGGTTCCTAGCCTGTCGTATGCTCTGATCTTGTGTTCTTGTGAATTTTTGTCACCAGGTCGGCCAAGGGCGATGGAACATTATGCGATCTAATGGCTGTGTGCATGGCTCGAAGAGGGTTGTATACTGTATACCTGCTCCTGGCCCTGAAAATGTTTTAGTTCTATGCCGAAATTTTGTAATCAGTCAACAGTCTCCAAAAAATGTGGATGTAGTAGAAAAAGGCCTAACAAAAGAGCATCACTAAAAGTGATCTATTAATGTGTTTCGAATGTTCTGTGATCACCACGCGATGTAGTGTGCAATCAGTGATCATTCCTTACAGGTGATCCTTTACATTAGTCTTGTATTCATGGTTTGTTCGGTGTTTTAGAGGCTGACGGTATTGACGTTCACGGATAGTGCGAAGTTTACCAACGTAAGATCTAATACCCACAACTTCTATAGTATTCGTTCTGCGTAGACCAAAGACAAAGCAAACACGCAATAATTGATCGTCCAAATTACGAGATATATTTTGGGACCAAATCGGGACGCGAGGTGATTGCTTAGCTAGCTAGGGATCGTGCACGAAAGAACGTGACACAACGGAGTACCAAATGGCGTGGATGCTTGACCGGAAGCCTTCAGCGAAACAAGCTGACTTAAACACTGATGGTCAGCATCCAATGTTCAGTGATGAATGCTTTGGCCAATAATTTTATGGAATTATTTAGCGCTACAGTATCCTCTTTTATAGAATAACTAAACTCGGTTACCTGTTTGACTTTTCCCTGGCTTCATGTTTTAGAGTTGGTTCACAGTGTCCAGTCACTTTGTGTGTCTCAATACTTTGGAAAATGCTTAGAAAAGATTTTCAAGAACTGGTTAACATGAACCAACCAACTGTAGCAACAGTAACGGTTTCACCGGATAGTAATGTTAACCGGGAATGTGTAAACAGATGACTGTGTTGTGGAATAACTTATAACAATAACGCATAATTCTATTATCACATATATTCCAATTTTTTTTTGTATCTTAAAGGTTTCAGCAGCTCGTGAAGAAGTGCCAGGTCGTCGTGGTTTCCCAGGTTATATGTACACTGATTTAGCATCGATTTATGAACGAGCTGGTCGTGTTGAAGGTCGATCAGGATCGATAACACAAATTCCAATTTTAACTATGCCTAACGATGATATTACTCATCCTATACCAGATTTAACAGGTTATATTACAGAGGGTCAAATCTATGTGGATCGTCAAATTCATAATAGACAGGTTAGTAGTGGTAAACTGCAATCTCTATTATTTATTATATATAATGCTAGATTGCTTGTTATATCCTGTGAGTTGAAACACCTTTGAGACAAACATTAATTGACGTCTATTGCATGTATAGGATTTAACCCTGAAGTGATAAAGTGGTTTTTGATGTTTTGTGGATCATTTCTAATCCATTTGACATCTTAGAAGTGATATCCGGCTATCGATCAAAGGATGTATATACTACCCAGCAGTTCGCTCTATCATTCTGTATGACTGTGAGACGCGGCCGTTGAAAGTGGAAGACTTGAAGAGACTATTTGTTTTTGACCCTAGATGTTTCCTGTATGCATCGCCTGTCAAGTGGTATGCTATGATGAGATCAGGACTAGAGTCTTTGTTAAAGAAGTCAGGCTAATCGATGAGGTTGGGAGGGTGAATCGTTTGCGATGGGTGGGACACGTGTTATGAAAGACGAGCTAGCCTCCTCTTCATCATCGAACAATGTTAGCTGACATACGACTAAGTTGGAAAAAAGTTAGGAGTAGTCAAATAGAATTATGGAGTCAATCCAAGAAGTCCTTTGAGCCATCAGGGTGGTATAAACTGCCCGGTTGGGGTCCTCGACAATCTATGAACGAGTGGCTTGAGACTGTCGGTGATATGGCTCAGATCCATTCACAATGACACAAATGCATTCGCTTTATTTATTTTATTTTATTATAGCTTGACTCCACACCGTATTTTTGATACAAGTATGAAATTTTCAGCATGTGATATCGTTAGCCCAAATTTAGCAGGCCGACCATTGATATCTGGTGTGCGTCGACCGGGGATCGAACCCCGGACCATGTGCGTGGTCGGCAAGCGTCCTAACCGCTGTGCCACCGACTCACAGAATCAATAAGTCTTCATGTTTCTCCATGTAGTCATTCTTTCTTCCGTGCATGTCTGTTGCACTTCTGTACAGAGTGTACAGTTCCGCATTAAAACTCAGTCAGTCAACCATGTGATAACTGACCTTTTCATAATGTTGATGTTTATTGTCTTTTACTGGTTGGATTGCGTTACGTTCAAATATCTCAGAAATAATCTGAAGTTGGATACGTGGAACTACTACTTGAAACCTATTTGGCTTTATGACGTTGAACTAAGACTTGTTAACTTGTTGTGCAAATCTACACAAGATGGTTGACATCTTTAAAAATTTAGGTTAGTTTTAGTTTTATTCCTTTACGTTCCCAGTGGAACATAGGACTTCAAGCTAGAGTTTTGAAGTTTCGGTAGCAGTGGTATTTATTTTTACACGATGGGGTTGCTAGCCTTATGCCCAACCTTCCCTCTATACCAGTCTTATTACTGGCTTAGCGAGGTGAAAGAGTTCGTCAGTGTCCAGGGATCAAACCCCGAACCACTTGCGTGGCTGGCGAGCATTCTACCGCTGTACCACCAGCGCAGCTTAAAATATTACTTTCCCAATATTTTAAACATCTTTGACTGAAGTCGATGTCTGATGGGAAGCCTCAGGATGGTCGGGGAAGGGTGCCTTGCGCTGCGGGTTGGCCACCCCTCTGCACACCTCTTGAAATGCTCCCATATGACCGGGCGTCTTACATAGCCTCTCCTGAGGAAGTCCTACTCACTGCCTTCACGTGGCGGAGGTGTTTTTCACCAAAGTGAGAGGGCGAAAGCGGATGCCCGGCGCTCTCCACCGGGTTGACTGTCCATTGGATGACAGTCTAGGGGAGATGGCTAAACCCTGATTCCAAACCTCCAACGACTGGCGTATGAAGCTCACTGGAGCTCACCGGCAGACGTATGGACAAAGGGCTTGTTGGATGTCCTGGATGTCTGGCCCCATTCAAAAAGGTGTATGAACCGAACTCCGGTCACCGTCTGCCAATGGATAGTGGACTCCCTACTCCACTCCTACTGCCTTGTAGGTCACACTTGGTTGTGTAAAGGCTAGAGCTGCACTCTCAAACAAAAGGCCGAGCGATTCTGGGGACATCACTCGTACCAAATTCCCATGAAACTTCATGAACTCTCTTACAAAACCCTGTCGCAAAACCTTGCATCAGATCGCCGCGCCTGGGCAGCGATGATTCAAGATGTTCATGAAGCCGGCTCATCCTTCCGTAGGAGATAGCCGAAGTAAAGTAAAGTAAGTAAGAAGGTACCTATTTTACTCCAAACTTTTCTTAACCTTTCTGTTCGATTCGGAACATTAATATGAGCTTTATTTACTGATAAACTTTACTGAAAACATTTCTTGTTTAATTGTCGTCTTTCGTGCCGTTTGGGAAGTTCAATTTATTAACCTCGAGTCTAGTCTATTCCTAGACTTTCTTTAATGAACAGCAGTTTCATTGAATGGAGGATTTCACCATGAGCTGATATCAGTTAGAGAACCATTGGAAAACGTGTAGGGAGTACTGTACAGTTGTTTCGTCCAGCCTAGTCCGTGACTCTTCATCAGTGTGCACCCGCGATCAGGGTTCAAACCCAGTAACTTCTGGTTACAAGACGAGCTCGGGCGTACTGATGAAGAGTCCCAAATTAGGACGAAGCAGCTGTCGAGTACTCCCATGTTTTCCAGTGGTTCTCTCACTGATGTCATCTCATGATGAAATCCTCCATCTAATCAAACAAAATCACTACAAAAACCAATACTTGAAAATAACGCCAGTTTCATCGAAAATATTCCCTGCATTGTTATTGAATATTTCCTCACATACGTCGTTTTCACACGCTGATTAACTCATTAATGCAGTTAATTCTATATTTTTTAAATTTTTTGTCCAACATATAGATCTATCCACCAATTAATGTATTGCCGTCATTGTCTCGTCTTATGAAATCGGCTATTGGTGTTGGTATGACGCGTGAAGATCATGCTGATGTCTCTAATCAGTTGGTAAGTTATAAAGTTGAACTTGTAATTTTGAAAAGGAAAGAATATTATTATTATCATCTCTTTTTTTGTAATCTTCCCTTTGTGTTCCCAGTGAAACATAAGGCTACAAGTATGGGCTGTAAAGTTTGTTGTGGTGCTTGTATTGTTTCTCTGTGGGGTGAGTTTACTCGCCTCACACTCCAATCTTCCCTGTTCACTGGACGGGTTTACTACCGACTAATCAGAGTTTAGGAGTGCGTCGGCCAAGGATCGAACCCCGGACCACATGCATGATTGGTGGTAAGGATTCTACCAATGAACCGCCGATGTACATAATATTATTATTATAAGTATGCTGGCTTATTGAAATAATTTCGAATATGAAGTTTATTAGCTTTGCGTAGGCTGGATCAATAATACTGTTACTATTACAGTTGTTAGAGGTTTGTTCTTGGTTCTGTCAATCTCAGGTTGATTTCACTTGTTGTTAAGCGTGACTTTAATGATTTGTAAATATTGGCCCTCTGCTGCTGCTAATGCTATTTCGCTTTCTTTCTTAATTTCTATTCATAGTCTCCAGCAGATAACAGGCATTCTGATCTGAATATTTTTTTTGGTTTCCAAAGGAATGCTGTACTGAATTCTCACCTCAAACTGTGTGCAGTATGTAAATTCGTTGGAGGATTTCATCATGAGCTGACGTCGATTAGAGAACCATTGAAAAATCTTGGAGTACTGGACAGCGGTTTCGTCCTAGTTTGGGGCTCGTCATCAGTACGCACCTACGACCTTCTGGATACGAGGTGAACTCGTAGACCATTGAGTCACTGTTGGGTGGGTACTTCTGAAAAGTCCCAAACTAGGACGGAGGCAACAGGTGTCCAGTACTCCCTGCAGGTTTTCCAATGGTTTCTCTAACCGATGTCAGCTCATGATGAAATCCTCCAACCAATCCAGCAAACAAAATTTCCTTCAAACCAATAGTTGACAATTTGTAAATGTAAAATTACCAATTCACCCAAGTGGTAGTTATTCAGGGTTTGGGCGGTTTTCAACTGACTCCTCCCTTGATATAGTTGCATTCTCCATGCTGGGTAATTTATAATTGCAGTGCTTTCGTAGCCCTTCTAGACATCATTTTCAGCGCAAGCTTTAATATGAAGTGTGAATTTATTTGAATTCTGTATAAATAATATAATTGTATCTTTCTTGACAACAACCTTGGTTGTTATGCTTAATATCAGTAGTTACCGTTTCTATTGACTTGGAATTTCAACTTTTTCGTGTTGTGTATTCGTTACTGTAGCTGGTAAATTCGATCTATAATCATGTCTGTTCATCATTGATTCATCTTAGTACCAACAGGCTTCTAGAAATTTTCTCACATTTTTAGTGTTCCCAATGCTTACAATTTCTGTATTTCCCCATATCAAATTATTATTATATTATTATTGTTCCCTTGGGTTCCTAGTAGAACATAGGGCTTCAACTGCACGTCTCCACTTGTTTCTGTCTTCTGCTGTACTTTTCACCTGCATCCACGTTAGTCCATACTGTTTCAACTCCTCTTCACACGATCTCCTCCATGTCACCCTTAGAAGTCCCACTCAACGCTTCCCTTCCGCGTTCCACTCGAGCACTGGCCTGACGCGCGATGCCAGCCAACGGCCTCCTCAGCGAGTGTCCAATCCACCTCCACTTTCTCCTGCATATTTGTTGAGCGACTGGTTCTTGTTTTGTTTCTTCCCATAATTTCTTGTTGGTGATTCTTTCCGGCCACCTGATCTTTAGTATAGAACGAAGACAGCTGTTGATAAAGGTCTGCAACAGGCTGTTGGAAATATTCTTTGTGACCCGCCAAGTTTCTGATCCGTATAGAAGAACTGGCTTGACTGACGTTTGTATTGAAAATCCGAATTTTGTTGTTGATGCAGGCTGAGTGACGAAGATTTCCAGATTGGTTTCAGGTTGATGAATGTGTTCCTCGCCTTCCCGATTCTCGCTCGATTTGACATTCTCGTCCGTTCCTCCTGTGGTTGAGACAATGCTCCCCAGATAAGTGAAAGAAGTAACCTCCTTCACATCCCTCCCATTGATGGTGATTGGCGCTGGATGTTGCTGCTGTTGTTGTTGGTGGTTGGTTATTTTCATAACCTCCGTCTTGTCTATGTTCACCTGGTGTCCTGTCTTTGCTGCTTCTTCGCTCAGTTTGTCGGTTTTCGCTTGTAAGTCTTCAATCTTGTGTGACATCTAACATCAAATTACTGTCCATAATTGTCTACATGTATCGATATGAAAGAATTTTTGTTGTATCTTTTGACAACTAGTTTGTGTTCCTGGATTCTGAGTCAAATGGGGCGTCCACTTTGATTTATGAAGTCTGTCATAGTTCAAGCGATTTATTTTTTATATGATGTTTATTTTGTCTTTTGTTGTTGGACCCTTTATTCTGCACAATATTCATTCTTTTTGAAAACAGTTAGTAGATATTTCTCTTCGATTCTTTTCAGGACAGGTGTGCTGCTCTACACGAACTCATGCAGCCAGGTGAGAGCTTACGGAGAGTTGTCATCTGAAGTGGCGACAACCAGTGGTGTCTGTCAGGAATGCCCAATATCCCCACTGCTGTTTAATTTCATCATAGGCGCACTAATGAACTTAACCCTAACTGACTTCAGTGACTCAGGGATTGACTTGTTATCAGGGTATAATCTCACTGAATTAGAATATGTGGATGATATAGTCCTAGGTGAAGGCGCTGAAAAAAAGCAGAGTCTTTTGAACACCTTGAGGAGGAGGAGCAATCTTCGGATGTTTGGCATGCGATTCGCTCCTGTCGAATGTAAGATGATGCTACAGCACTGGACTAGCTTAAAGATAGTTGAGGGTGAAGTGTTTAGTAGAGTGTGTTGATCACTTCACTTACTTCGGAAGTTCTATCAGCCAGCGCCAGAAGGTTGATCCCTAACGATATCTCAGCACGGATATAGAAGGCTCGTTTGGCATTTATTAGCCAACTTATGCCATCTCTGGATTAGTAGATGTGATATCCGACTGACTGTCGACCAAAGGACGTGTGTACTGCTCAGCAGTTCACTTCGTCTTCCCTTATGGCTGTGGCAAATGGCCATTGAATGTGGAAGACATGAAAAGACTAGCTATCTCTGATCATAGGTGGCTGCGTTCTATCTCCCATTTTAAGTGGTATAATAAGGTGAGCAATATTGAGGGAGGAGGGGGGGGGGGAATCAATAGACGAGGCTGTGAAGCAACATCGATTGAGATGGTTAGGACATATGCTACGCATGCCTAGCCATCCATCGCCTTCCTCGACAGGTAATGGTAGCTGACGTAGGATCTGTTTGGAAAAGAAATAGCTAGTGGAGGTCAAACCGAAACATGGCTTAATCAGCCGGTGAGATCCACAACAGTTAGTTTCAGGCAGCCAGCCAGCCACAGAGGGAGGTGTAGACTGGCTGGCTGATTGTCTGGTTGCGATCCTCGGGATGGTAAGAACCAATGAATGCTGAGGACAGTTGATGATATGGCTGGCTCACAATCGTCCTCGGTAATGGCTGACGCAGATGCATTTACTATTTTTGATTTGTCATATCGAATAAAATTCTATTGTTCTTCCATATTACTATTCCTTTTCCCTAGCTCACACTTCCGTTTATTATCTCTGTTTTTAATCTGTCTTTACTCTCTTTTCTTGCTTTGTGTGCTACATGGAGGGAGTTCGACAACAGGAACTGATGCACATCTGTGCAAAGTTCTACGTTGACACTAGTCAGTCAATCAGGAGTAGTGCTACAGTGTGTGTTTGAACTCTTCTAAACAATGTTTGCATACAGTTTCTTTTATGAGACGTTGGATTTTTGCTGTTATAGTTGATTGTGTGTGTGTGTGTGTGTGTTGATTTCCTGCATACTTGTATTTCCAGATATCCTATCTTTGTTCTCTTGATTAAGACTTCCAAGAAAGGGATTTTGTCGTCTATTTCTTCTTCTCGTGAATTTACATTCTTCGAATATGCTGTTGATTAATTTGTCGGTATGTTCTAAGCCATTTCTTCTAATTATGATAAATGTGTCATCAACACAATGTATGCCAATTCTTGGTTTGAATCATTGGTAGAACTAACATTTCTAATCTTTGCATAACTGCCTCAGCAATAAGTCCTGGTATATGATGAGTGATCCCATCTCTGTCCCTTTTATTTGTTCGTATATTTGGTTATTGAGTTGAAAATGTGTTATAAGCCATGATTCTGTGAACTGCATTCAGCTTGAGCTTACTTACTTTACTTTACTTCGGCTATCTCCTACGGAAGGATGAACCGGCTTCATGAACATCTCGAATCATCGCTGCCCAGGCGCGGCGATCTGATGAAGAGAGTTCATGAAGTTTCATGGGAATTTGGTACGAGTGATGTCCCCAGAATCGCTCGGCCTTTTGTTTGAGAGTGCAGCTCTAGCCTTTACACAACCAAGTGTGACCTACAAGGCAGTAGAAGTGGAGTAGGGAGCCCACTATCCATTGGCAGCCGGTGACCGGAGTTCGGTTCATACGCCTTTTTGAATGGGGCCAGACATCCAGGACATCCAACAAGCCCTTTGTCCATACGTCTGCCGGTGAGCTCCAGTGAGATTCATACGCCAGTCGTTGGAGGTTTGGAATCAGGGTTTAGCCATCTCCCCTAGACTGTCATCCAATAGACAGTCAACCCGGTGAAGAGCGCCGGGCATCCGCTTTCGCCCTCTCACTTTGGTGAAAAACACCTCCGCCACGTGAAGGCAGTGAGTAGGACTTCCTCGGGAGAGGCTATGTAAGACGCCCGGTCATATGGGGGCATTTCAAGAGGTGTGCGGAGGAGTGGCCAACCCGCAGCGCTAGGCACCCACCCCCAACCATCCTGAGGCTTTGGAGGCATTGGATGTTTGTGTGTTTTATCATGATAGAGTCGTTGTTGCATAGTTTCTGTCCATTTGAGGGACTCAATGCTGTGACATCATCAGAGA